GGAACACCTGAGGAAACTGGGGTTGTCTAGTTTGGAGAAGGCTCAGGGGCACCTTATAACTCTCTACAACTACCTGAAAGGAGGTCATAGTCAGGTGGGTGCTGGTCTCTTCTCCCAAGTAGCAAGTGATAGGACAGGAGGCAACGGCCTCAAGGTGCACCAGTGGAGGTTTAGACTGGGTATTAGGAAGAATTTATTCACCTCAGCAACTGACCATATCACTCCCTCAGTCTATGGACCATCCCTGTAAAATATCCACAAATGCCCACAAAATCTCCACTCAGTTCATTTAGTCCATGTCTTTGGGCTCCATCACCATATAAGCTACTATGAAGAAATTTAACTCTACGCCAGCCAAACCCAACATACCAGGAGTGCTCAGGAGGGATTTTTAAATATTGTTAAACATCCAGGAAAAATCAAGTTAGAAATAAGGAAGAAGTTCTTTACTGAGAGGGTGGTGAGGCACTGGAATGGGTTGCCCAAGGAAGCTGTGAATGCTCCATCCCTGGCAGTGTTCAAGGCCAGGTTGGACAGAGCCTTGGGTGACATGGTTTAGTGCGAGGCATTGCTGCCCATGGCAGGTGGGGTTGGAACTAAGTGATCTTAAGGTCCTTTCCAATATAAACCATTCTATTATCTGGGGTTTAGTGAAGGGCTTGTGGTAGCAACAGCTAAAGCCTTTAGTGATTTGATAGCTGTGGAAATAGGAGTTAGTGAGAATAAAGATGACTAAACACATGGATTTTATTTAGGTACCTAAGTGGCATTTCCCCAACCCCTCCTTCCCTTTATTAGCAAGATTATATAAGCAAACAAGTAGTTAACTGCAAATTACAGGAGTACACCTGCAATGCACCTGAGGATAACTTGCACTAAGTGACAACCTTCACAGAGACATATGAAGTTAATGGAAGTGACCATGTACCACCGGCACAAGAGAGTGGTAGGCTGGACTGTAGCAGTTGCTTGTGACAATGAGGTTCTTAGCCTGCTGTCTTGTGACTGTAGGTCGGACTGAGGCACAGACAACAGAAGCATTTTCAGCAGTGCTCACTGAAGTGCTGATGACATTTGAATAAGGTGCTTGTGTAAAGCTTCTGAAGCCTTCATACAAGGAAAGCCTTGATCCTCATTGAGTAACTGATAAGTTTCTTGCTGTCATTTATCAGCAAGCACTTGCTTGTCCCTGGCAACCTGCAGGAAAGAAAGCACTATCAGTATATGTGCTGGTTAATGCCTCCCTGCAGAAAAACTCACTGAGCCTTTGAGCTAACAAGCTATTCCACTTGCCCAGTCTGAAACCATTTGGTGCAAATCGCTAAAGGGGATGCACCATTATCTTCTCAATGGCACTAGAAGCCTAGTAGATGCTGGATTGGTCAGGATCAGGAAAATTTTGCAAAACTTTAGGTGGCATTGTAAAGCATGATGTCAGTGAAGAATTAGAAGAGAAAATACGTACAATTAAATAAGGTTCAGAACAAGCTACGCAAATTGCATAGCACAGGCTGCACAAGATCTTTCACAAACAGTGTGTAAGAGCCCTGTTTAAGCTGTTGTACTGCTTAAGAGGTGTCCTAGTGCGCACAAACCTGCATGCACTGCCAGTCTCTCAAAAGCAATGTGCCGCAAACCAGATGCAGGGATGTTTAGCTCCATCTTCTAACCTTACTCAAAGAAGGCAAGAGACACTAGAATTTAAATGTGTCCTCTGTGCCTAGCACATAACTCTGACACAATCTGCTGGTACAGCTGTGCTGTGGGGCAGTTGCAAACCTGTAATTTCCTCCTGCAGATGAAGCCCCTGGGACGATTTACAGAGTAAGCAACTTCAATTGCTTTGGCTTGATTTCAGCATTTTGAATCAGATCCTGCCATTGTTCAGCACAAACTTTTTGTGCAGCACCAGTCTGATGGCCTGAGGCAGAATTTCTAACTTGTCTAAATAACATTCAGCATAAGCTCCCTATGATAATTAATTAGTGGCTATTAAAGCAAAAGATACCTATGATGTCTCTGATGTTTAATAAAGTCTTTTCATGGCATTTTAATCACAGTATTGCAATGGCAGGATTTACTTTTATTTAAAACAAATGTGGCTTGTACAATGTTCCCACAATATTGCTTTTGGTGGTAAGATAAAGTAGCAACTCCTAACAATGTCAGGAGATATCAAACTATATAATCACTTTTAGCTCAAAGAGCTCAGAATTTTTGGAAGTACCTAATTTAGTCCATCACCAGGACTAAATAACTTGCAGTTTGAAAACCCCAGCAGAAGAGCTCTTCCTACCTGACCATTACCACATACATGCACACAAACAAGAATGATTTCAGTAAATAAAAATGACAGGTCATTCAGATGATGTGCCCATAGGCTACCAGACATGATACTTGGAATAGAAGTATGGATTTTAACATGATAACTTGGGATATTTTCCTATGCTTCAAATTTGGTACAGTGATGAAAGATCATCAATGTGATAAGGCAAATACCAATTTAAAGTTAATAGGGACAATACTTCTATAGATAGTGTAGTTTATGTTACAGAACCAGGGTTTATCTTTATTTTTCCATGCGGAAACAGGCAAGATGTATCCTGTAATATGTGTTGCTCCATTTACAGTATCCCTTGTTGTGAAAATCTTGTTTAAAACGATGTATTGTGATGCTGATTTCTGTGGTTCTCAGCAGGACTTAGGGGTTTGAACACTGAAAACTCTACCGGGGAATTTTGCTTTTCCAGGGTTTTCTTTTTTTGATGAGCTGGTTGTTTGGCTTCTTTACAGGAAAAAAAAAAAAAAAAGAAAAAAAGAATGGGACTTAAATACAAGCTTTCTTGTGCCCCTCCTCACTGTCAGAGCATGAAATTGAAAAGTCCTTAATCAGAATAAGTGCTACTGAATGACAACTAAAGCATTGGTGTGTTATCAGCGTTGTTCTCAGACTAATGATACTCAGAACTCCACAGCTCGTTAGAGTTGTAAAGTAGGTATGCTTTTATTCAGCGCTGAGGCGCATGGGGATTGCTCCTCCAAAAGCATGCACACCTTTCCTTTGCCACTCAGTTCATTTATATTACATATAATGATTACCTAAACATGAGATTGCTTCACGCCTAATACATATGCAAAATGTATTCCCATCTAGCATTATAATTAGTTTTCTGGCATTCATCCCATTGGTGCGCCTGCACAGTGCCTCCTGGTGGTGGTCGTTAGGGGGTCGTGAGGATGAAGGCCTGTAGTTCCTCTTCATCACCGCGAGTAACCTCTTGCTTTCACGCAGACTCAATTGGGTTTTGGCCCCTGTCCAAACCTCAGGTTCGGTACAAGCCGGTTTTATGTATCCTAAAGCAGAAACTTGTCAAGTTTGTAAATTTTGTTACTCTGGCTGTCTTTTGATCCTTTTCTTTCTAAAGATACTATTTGAACAAGAATGTCTTAAATATTAAGCTATGAATCTTATCTACTACAATTCTGCCTAGCAGCTGTAACTCCTAAAACTCTGCTTCACCATTCTAGCAACTTTGACTCCTATGGTTCTCCTTCACCAAGCACAGCAACTGCTTAAGCAAGCAGGCACAATGTTAACCCTTTATTTCCCGGTATCACTAAAGCCAAAATCCAGCACTGCACCAGCTACTAGGAAGGAGAAAAATAATTTACAGCTGAAACCAGGACAACCATGGAAAGCTGAGGGACCCTCCTGGGCCATGAGGGAGCCTATTGGACTAAGACATATCAAAGATATCTGGGGACTTATACAGAAGGACTATACAGGACACCTGTCAGGGACCTCATGATCCTGGGGGCAGCCAGAGTTGGGTGAGGGGGAGAAAGCCCCCGGGTCCCTGTGGATATTTGCAGGGCTGAGACACCCCAAGCATCCCTGGGGCACAGAGGGATATGCATGTGGGTAAGGGTAATATCTATGGGGTAAGGATCACTGGGACTACTGGAGGATCTGTGGTGTAGAGACACCAGTGAGATCTCTGGGAAACCCAGGGGAACATGGGAGGAGATGGGATTTGTGGGGCTGACGCTCCCCAGGAGCTCTGGGGTAGGGGAAGACCTGTGGGGACAAGGCACCCCACAGGGTAGCTTTGCTGAAGCCGAGGGCTGCCCTATGGCACCCGGGCCGGTGCACGGTGCCCTTTGTCCCTGCTGAGGAGCTTCCTCCGTGACCCGTGCAATAGGAAACAAACAGCACCCCACCGCCGCCCGCCCGTTTCTTGCTTTGCACCGGTTTCCGAGAAACGGCGGCCGGCAGGTACAAGCGCTTGCGACAGCCCAGCCCAGCGGGGACATGCACCGGAGGTAGTCACAGCACAAGGCAGGGACTGGGGCAGAGTCCCCCAGGCTTTGCTCGGGCCTTCTCAAGCTTTAAACCCAAGGGAGGGGGAGGCTCTGGGGTGTGTTTCTGTGGGTGCTTTCCCCCTGCAGTGTCTTCAGGGAGCTCTGATCTCTCCCAGGGCTTCGCTTGCTGTCTCCCACCCAGCTTGACCCTGGGGCTTGCCCACAGAGCTGTGCCAAGCTGCCACCCCCAGGCTGCAGGCTGCTTGGGCACCCAGCGGGGCTGAGGGAGACTCTCCTTCAGGGTGAGGGCAGTGGGAGGCCATCCCTGCCTCAGTTTCACCTGTCCCAATTCCTGACCAGGAGAGGATAGGGTATCCCTGTGAACCTAGGAGGGTTTACAGGGCTGTCCGAGATGTGCTGCTCTCACCCCTTCCCACATCGCAGGAAAAAAAGTTAGCAGAAAGGGGAAAAGTTAATTTTCATTTCAACTGCCTTCTAATTTCACTGTTTCAGAGGAAAAACATAACTGCAAGCACGGGAAAGGGATTGAGCAGGTTTAAAACTTTTAAAGATCACACTGCAGAGTGAGAGAGATGAGCAACGCACAAATACGGCTGAGAGCCGTATGAGGGAGGAGGAAGGGGTCACTGTAATGAAGCAATAAACAGAGAGAGACCCCAGAACAGAAACTACACCCCTTTTCCTTTCACTTTCACAAAGCAGAGCTGGAGTGCCTGGAACTGCACTCATTTGGAAAGTCCCAGTCTGTAGAACTCTGCCCATGAAGTCACATTTCCAGGAAAAGGTATAAAAGCCACCTGAATTTTCCACTCTCCTGGGCATTAGCGGAGGTGCTGGCAAATCCCTCCATGGCTTGCAGAGGGGTTTGAAACCAGTGAGGTTGTAACCCCTAAATGAAGTTCTCCTCCTCATTGTGTGGGGAGAGGGGGGTGGAGGAGGAGGGTGTACAAGAAGGCAAAATTACCAGACCTGGGCTTCTCAGTCTTTTGATCACTGCAATCTTTTAACCTTTCCTTTAGACTGTTAACTTTGAAGCTGCAAGTTGAGCTGCTGAAGTTTTCATCTTGGCTGCCCAGTCTGAGCTGCCACGATGGAAGGTGCAGAGGGCGACAGAGAGGGTGAAAGCAGAGAGAAATCTCATCCTGTGCCTCCATCTGTCCAGGAAGGCAGCAGCAAACTTTTACATGGTAAAGGAGGTAACAGGAAATATTGTGGGTGGAGGCAATGCAAACAGCCACCAACCCAATCCTCAGCTCTAAGCTAGCAACTTCTTCCTTTACAAGTAAGGAAAAATGTACTGTCCACAAATTCAGGTACAGTGTGAATGAGGAATACCTTGATGAAGCAGAAATGGCTAGGAAAACCCAGGCAAAAAGAAGGTCTATCCATTCTTTAGGGGCAGAAGGGCATTTCTGCTCCCTCCTATATATTACCTTGCTGCAGCTCCCCTCACTGCCCATGTTACAGCATCATCAATTTCCTTCCTGGCTGCTAAGAAGTGAGCCTGTGAGATAAAAGATCCTAGCCCTGGGATTTTTCCTTTCAGAGGAGCACCCCTAAAACATGGCCTGGTTAAGACTGCTCTTGTGTGACCTTTGCTCTACCCAGTTCTCTGACAAGTTAGTCTGCAGCTCCCTGCAATCAGTGTGATAAGCCCAAAGGCTTCCCCTGTGTCTCTCTGCTGGCCAGCTGGTAGCTTCTGATCACAGAGGGGAGCATGAGCATCCCTTTTGGGATCAGGTGAAAACCTTGATCTCCCTTTGTTCTCAGCTCCAAATGCTGTAGAGGAAGAGAAACTCCAGGCACATGTGACAAGTGCAAAACTCATGGAAGTTCACAATGCTGGACAGAAATCATCCTCCAAGCCTGGAGATGACACCTCTGCCAGGGATAACGAGGTGAGAGTTTTTAGTTTATTATCACTGATGCCAAATGAACATACGCAGGGCAAAACTCTTGTGACAGAAGTCACACAGAGGGAAAATCAGGCTTTACCTAGGGTGCTTCCCTATTACTGGTGATTGAAATCCTTAAACTGATATTTAATGGCAAAGAAGAGATTTGCCTCTTCTGTCACTCAGAAAGCCCATAAGAAGCCTGTGTATAGTTCTTGCTTGCTCTTGCAAGCTGGTGATACCGAAGGGATGCTATGCCCCATCGCTGCGGTGTGGGAATGTTTCTGTATGGAAGAGGCAGAAATAAAAGGGTGGCTCTGACAGTACCACAGTGCAGCTTTCATTCTGAAGAGATTCCATCTGGCTATGTCCACTCAATATCCAGTCATTTTGCTGCTTCAGGATAGTTCTGGGAACTTTTACTTTGTCTTCTTTATCGCCATCATCATGGCAAATGAAATGAGATGTATTGCTTCTTTTTCTTCATCCAAATAAACAAATATGTGAAAGTTGATGTATGACCTGTTTCTTTCCCATGTAAGAAATCAGTTTGGAGAAGGCCAATTTACGCTAAAAGACCATTCACTTTATTTCACATAAAAAGTAAAATGTTTTCTTGAAAATTCAGGGTTTCCCACTGAATTTGTCTTCCTTCTGCTGCTGATCAACCCCACTACCAATCTATAAAATTTCTGGTCCAACAAACTGTGCTGCTTGCTGTATTACAGTCTAGGAGCAGGGTAAAAACTAAGTGTAAGCCTTCAAATTTCTTATAAACATTTGGGCATTACTGGACTGGGCTAAAACAGCCTAAGAGCCTTGGATTTCTGTGTTGTCAGTACCCTTACTTTGAGGTAAACCGTATTAGGCTGTACACTGTTTATCTCTTTTTTCCTGCTCCCGTAGGAATTACTTCATTTGCCTGGCCACAGCTTTGCTGTGAAATGGTCTCAAATGCCAGGGTTCCTCCAAAAGCCATCATTGATAGAGACATGGGCTGATGCAGCACGTAACAGGGAAACTCTAATTATGACCATTGGTGCACATATGCTTCTCCTTTCCATGGCACAGCAGTCCCACCCCAGGAGGACACCCATGCTCAGCAAGTCCCAGCATACCAGCAGCAGTCTGCTGTGTCACTGGAAAGGGAGTGTTATCATGAGTGCTGGTTCCAATCAAGTGGGACTATCAGAAACCCAGGAACCCCAGTATTCAAGGAAGCCAGAATGCTTTCTGAGCAGGAATCACATGGTACCTATCAAAGAGCAAACTTAGTCGTAACTAAACTCCTTGGGGACCCCCAGAGACAATTGATGAAGGCTGTATTTTCCACCCTTGCAGGGTGGAAACATTCCAATGCAGGATAGCATTGTTCTTTTGGATATAGTGGGTTACTCTTATGGAAGTTGCAAGGTGATGCCCTGCGTTCACTTGCAGTTGTGCTGAGATGCAGCTCTGCTCTTTGCATTCGGAATTTCCTGTGTGCAAATGAGAAGTCATGGAAAAATATGTTGGAAGAAAGGCTGAATGGCTTCTTCAGCTCTGAACCCCCCCCTGGCCCTGTGTAGTTTGAATCATTGCTATGGGTTTCTTTGTTTTTAACTTTAAACCTTTATTTTCCAAGAAAAAGATCCTGGATCCCCAGGGGAGAGAGGAGCCAGTGGAGCAAAGAATCTCTAACAGAAGAGGTAACTGATGAGTATATTTTAGCATTCCCATCTCTGCTCTAATGCAAATATGATGCTGACTATTGTGAAGATCAGGTCTGAGTATGCAGGGCTAGGCTGAGAGTCAGAGGCTCCTGGCAATGCCACATGTAAACTGATTGAGTGCCTAGAGGTACTTTGCTGAACTGCTCATGGAGGACAAAGACAACTGGTAAGAGAAGCCTAAAAGTTGATCATTCAGTGTAATTGTATGTCAGTGTTCCACCTATTGCCCCACCCGTAACTCCACCAATGTAGGGTATGCTAACCACTAAGGGTAAGGGTAAGCCCCACCCTTACCTCCAGCAGCACAGATTGCTCCATTTTCCTATCCCCAAAAAGCTGTACCAAGCAATGGTGGAGCTTGGCTAGATGGGAGGTCACACAACAGGTGGTCTGGGATTCTTGGTTCAAAGACCCAGAGGTCTGTACTCAAGCTATGAGGATTTTAATTTCAAGAGCTTCTCTCCCAGTCCCAGTTTGCAAGTTTTTCTTGTCTTAGTGCATCTTCTGCTGATGTTAATCCAAGCATTCTCCTCATTTGCAGGTGATGGTGAAAGCAAAGAAAACCTAGGACCCAGTGGCAGGTTTGTTGATGTGGATTTCAGTGCTGTGGGATTTCCCATCAGACCTCAAGGAGCTTGAGATCTGGGAGCTTGCAGGGAAAAGAGCTATCTTTGGTAAGAGGTATAGCCTTACTACTGTAAGGCTACTCCACCCTTAAAGTCCTTCCTCCACCAGCAGATAGAGATGGACACAAGTAGAGGCCTTCGAAGACAGGAGTTGGTCTCTTTCCAATGTTACTTGGTCTATAGCATGCCATCTGTATCCGAGTTATTCACACAGCAGCTTGATACTTGCATCTAGGCAGCTGGGACCAGTCTAAATGCTTTATGGTAACCAGGATATTTGTACAGGACTGGAAGAAATGATGCAGAAGATACTTCTTTTCCAGGAGCTGCAGCCAGAGTTTTGGAGAAATGCATGTGAGTGTCTGAATTCTGCCCTGGAGCCCTGAAGTGAATCAGGTGAAGATGGCAACATACTGGTGGAAGGTGTCTTGATGTAGGCCTCACAGTATTTCTTTCCCTTCCAATAGCTGCCTGGAGAACCCATACCTGTCTGATAAAATACTTAAGACGGAACCAACAATAACCCTAGTTTGTTGTTGTGATGTCAAAAAAATTCAAGTTTCCTAAAGAGTCATCCAAGATCTGTGTTGCTTTTTACAAGAAACCTGGGCAATACCAGGAATTTGCTGTTCTAAAAGAAAGGTAAAAATCATATGTAAATGTATTCTGATGTAAAATTTTTGGAAAGCATATAGCTTACTAAACTTTAGGATCCCAGCCTGGGCTTCAGCTCCAGACAAAGACATCTAAATGTAGGTGTCTGTAGAAATGAGTTGCAGTGTTAAGTCTAACTTCTGTAGGTCCTGCATCAGATCTGTCAGATCCTCACAGAGGTCTAAAACATTATGAAGCTTCCCAAATGTGACCAGATGACTTGCATGGGGGAAAATGCAGTGAACAATCACCTCAATTCTGGTACAGTTGCAGCACTCATCAGGAATATCTAGATGTATTTCCCATTCTTTTTACAAGGCAGCTGCAACTTTGGCTAGGACCAGAGTTGTTCATGTCAAGACTTGCCACCAGTTATTTTTATTTCTCTCCTGTCTGATAAATCTCAAAGCTCAGGTCAGATTATCAAGTATTTTCTGCCATTATAAAGTCCTGAAGCATTTTGCTGAACTCTGCATTTTGAATGTGAATGTTGATTGCTCATTCTTGCTGCATGAACCAATTTGTACAGCTGAAGTCCTTCTGGAGTTGAACAAGAAGGAAGCTTCTTATGCTGTAGTAACTAATTCTTATTCTTCTTCTTTATTCTGTTCTAGAAAAAAGTATTTACACGGTCAAGCAACAATCCCCATTTCCAATGTACAGGGAGAAACAATTTTTTATAAATATGCTATCTTAAAAAATATGCTCTCAACTGACCATGAAAGATCATGTGATTTAGAGTATATTTGTGGAATGGACTCCAAGAATACAGGTCAGCTACATCGAGTCTTGAACATTCCCAAGGAAGAGATCAAAGCAAGTGGTATATATTTTACTTTACTCAACTGGCATGAAGTATGACTGACAAAACCTTGCACACAGCAGATGAACACAAACTCCCTTGTTTTGCTTCACAGTGGGGCAGCACCTGCTTTCTGCAACAGAAACATTGCTATTGTGGGGATTTTTTTACATGTAGTTTTATGGACTATTTATTTATCACAAGCAAATTCTTTATATAACAAACTATTTTGGAAGGAGCGTTCAAGTTATTTTGCTTTTTCCCAGAATAAACAGTCTTCTCATTTTGAGGCAAGAGAGGGTGTGTAATGAAGCCTTGAATCATTTTTGTATCTGCCATCAGGCCTTTAGTTGCCATTCCGGAAGGGTGCAGGTGAGCTGATGGGCCAGTGTCAGATCTGTGACCCTGTATAGATGATCTGAATATGCCAGGATGTCTCAAAAAGTAGTAGACTCCTATTGTTGGGGTAATTGTATCAGCTATGGGCTATGCATACCAGTCCCTTCTAAAGTGCAGGTGAGGTACCTAGGGCTGAATTTAAATACGCATGGTGAGTTTTGTGCATTAAAGGCTCAGTTATGACTCAGCTGGGCTTGGCATTCATACAAAGCAGTTGGTATTGTTAGCTCAGGGCCAGCCTAAGACTCGTCATTATAGGTTTGAAGGTTCATTAACAAATCCCTGATTCCTCCCCAGGAACATGGACTATTTTTGAAAACATGAAGTGCTATTTATTGAGAAAAAAACAAATATCCTTGAATTGTTCAAATTGCAGTCTCCAAAAAAAATGCCCCAAAACACAGTCAACTGTGGTATCATAGAATACCTCACAGATGAATTCTCCAAGACCATCAAGCTCAAGAAGAGCTTTAACAATTTAGAAAGGAAACTGAAGATCTACACAGAGAGCTTCAAAATTTATCTTGGGGATGCTGCAAATGGCAAAACCTGTTCTCCAACTGATCTTGAAGATCACCAAGTAAGTATACACCAACCTAAGGTAGCTAGCAGCAGCCAGGTAGACAGACCCCTGAAGAGATGTTTCTGCAGCTATGTCTAATTCCATGTAGGGTTGTGAACCACAGCCAGAAAACATCAAAAAGCTGGACCTTATTTTCATTGCTTTTTCCGGTTTCTGGGTTGGACCCAAAGCCTGATGAGGTTCAAGGGTGTCTATTGGAATGAGACCTGAAATGTGTCATTTGTAGAACTAGCTTTGAGGCTGGGTCATGGAAAGACTACTCTGGTTTTGAGAATCTTGCATTGAAAAAAGAAGAATTTCACACTCAATTATGTTCTGGCTTCAATGCCTCATTTTAAAGTCTGAAATTGAATTCCCATTGACTTATTTCTCAGGGTTATACACCAAAGTTAGGATGCAGTTTAAGGTTGCAGACACTTAAAATAAAATTGGCATACTGGAAAATAACTGGGTGCATACATGCTTAGCTCCTGATGTAGGTGCTGAGAAGTACAGAGTCATTGAAAGATTAGAGAGTCAGCCATTCAGTAGGCACTGATTTTTAGTCAGAGGAATGGCTTACCAATCCTTACCAACTGCAGTGATGGATCCTCTCTGGGCTAAAATTGCTTCTTTTGGGTGTTTGCTTTCTTGAGCTGAGTACTACATCCAGAGTGAACAGGCTTGCCTGAGCAAGACCCCCTCCCCAGCTCCTTTTATTACCAGCAGAGGGACCAAATTTTATTATCTGCAAGGGACAAAAGAAAGGATGTTTGTCTTATCCTAAGGTGGAAAGGTGGATTTTTGCCCTGGACACATCCATTTCTTGACACGGATTGAGTAGGATTCTTGGAAGAAAGGTTGAAATCAATATTCTCATTGCTCATAGAAGTGAGCAGTTGCAGTAAAAAGGCAAAATCTCCATGGCTACAGGAGAGCACTGATGTCCACCCCCATCCCAGCATGGCTACTGTCTGAGATGGTACCAGGTCTGGCTTGAATTGAGTTAATGTTCTTCATAGCATATGGTGCTGTGTCTTGCATTTGTGGCTGAAACAGTGTTGATAACATGAATGTTTTGGCTATTGCTGAACAGTCCTTGTATACCATCAACGCTTGCTCTCTCCCACTGCTCCCCACAGTGAGTATGCTGGTGGTAGACAAGAGGTTGGGAGGGAACATAGCCAAGACAGCTGATCCAAAGCGACCAAAGGAGTATTCCATACCGTACGATGTTGTCCTCTGCAATTATAGCTCAGACAAATGAGCAGGAAGGAGGGTTGTTCACAGTTATTGCATTTGTCTTTCCAAGCAAGTGTTACACATGCTGAGGCCCAGCCACCCAGGAAGGGGCTGGACATCTGCCTGCCAATAAGTAGTAGTGTATGAATTCTTCTTTTTTGCTTTGTTTACATGGACAGCTTTTGCTTTCCCTATTTAACCATCATCATCTCAGTTCATGAATCTTCTCACCCTCTTTCTGTTTTCATCCTGAACCACAGGAGAAAAGACAAAGTGGGAAGCCTGGTGAGTATTTAGTTGTTGGCCCAGCTCAAACCACCAGCATTGTTTAATGGAAGTCCTATTTGAGCTGAGGTGCCACATTCACCTGGCATCATCTGGGGCTTGCCTCAGAGGGAGGCATTAGGGTATACCCGGAAAAGGGCTAAGTACCTAGGCTACAAACAGTTAGGTGGGGATGCTGTCTTACATTGTGAGGGTGTCCTAAAAGGTTGCATAAAGTGGAAAGCCTGAAGTAAACCTGGGTTACACAGGATGCAAAGCAATGTGTTGCAGGTGATCTGTAGGCAAATCCCAATGTGAGGAATTGAGTGATGGGTGCTGCATCTCTGTTTAGGTAGAAGTTGTTTACCTGTCCTTTGGGTTTCATGGAGTCATACTCCTATAGTAAGCTAGGTCTCTGGGAGACTCTCCACTATTCCTTTTGATTCCCTTTGATTTCCCAGCTCAGCTGGGAGACTGAAGATCTGTTTGCCTGTACTTCACCTGTGGTAGGGCTTGAGCATTCTAGAATGGTGGCTAGTAGGGTCCTGATGCCAGTGAGTATTCAGCAGATAAGGACTGCTTGGTAAATTTCTGACAGCCAGGAAAACATTCTCCCTGGAGTAGTGCCAGGGCAGTGAGATACAATGGAAGCTAAAATATTTGCTAGCTGTTGCAAAGACAGGAACCTATCTTTAAGTAAGTGGTGTAACTGCAAGGCTTTTGCCTCCAAATAAGCAACTTCCATCTTCCATCCTCCTTCCTGAACCCTTCCCAGCTCCTCAAGTAAGATTGTATTGTCTTAGTGAAACTCCCCTTCTTTACTTTCATTGTTCAGTTAAAAACTAACATGATAAAGTTCATGGACAAGATCGTTGGACACCTGGAGACAGAGGAGCAGAAAGATAATGGGCTGCTTTTTGCCTTACACACCTCATTTTGTTATAACATTCAACTAAGCAAAGAGGTAATCGTCAAGGCTGAAAAACTCTTCCAGGACATTGGCCCATTTCAAGACAAATTCCAGCATCTGAGAGGAAGGAGGTAATTAAAAGTGTCATCTTACTTGAGTTAAAGATCCTTCTGTAGTCATTGCATTCATTGGGCCATTTTCTCTGTGGAGCAATTATGTGAAAATGGAGGTAGAAGGTGGTCCTCCAGATCCTTTTCCGCCTCGCTTCAATGCTTCCTAGCTGTGTTTATGCCACTGGCTGCCATAACCTCTGCAGCCTGTCCCCTCTGACAGGTCTCCGATAGAAGGAGAGCCACAGGTCCTATTTTTGGCAGGGATTGGCTTCAGATTCTGAACCTTAAATTTATGCACATCTGTAGGTGTCTGGTTGTCTGTTATAATCAAAGATTCAACTGGTCATCAGTGTCATTTTAGATGCCATGTGCTATCTTACCAAACCTCCTGACCAATTTTAAAGGATTAACATCTCCCCAGAGTTCTGGTTCATATCTGAAAACCTTGGAGGTCTGTCTTGGATGTCCCAGACATCTCAAAGAGAATTAGACATTTTTATGAAGACAGCTGAATTTAGCCCTACAAAAGCGGATGTATTAGGCCACAAAGTCAGATTATACTGTATTTTGTCATGCTGGTATACCATCTACGTTATTTTTCTTTTGATTTTCCTTTGCGGCATAACACTTACGGAGAAAGACTGTTTTGGGAAAGCTGGTTTGGGATTCATTTGTTGTACATGAATGTCTGCTGATAAGGTCTCTAGAACTAAGCTCTTGCTTGCTCTCACACACCTTCATGCATCTACATGTTGGCAAGATGAATGCCATTGAGTTGAGGTGCAAGTTCACAGCTCCCATTGCCATCTTAGGAGGGTGGTTATGGGAGATCTGACCAGTGATGGAGATTTTTGGTGGTTCTCTTTCTTTTCAGCGATTACATTTCAGCTCTGAAGAAAATCTGCTTAGATAATGAAGATGACGTCTTGTGCATTTGGCTGATTCCATTACTGTATGCAATTACAGAGAAGATGGAGGGTCCTTTTTCAATACAAACCGTTCCTTCACAACGCTTGTTGCAGCTGAGAGATGATGAAAAGAAACAGAAGTAGGTTTGAAAGGGATACAACATCAAGGCTGGGTCAGGGAAATAAGCTGTTGTACTGTTAGAATAATTTTGCAGTGCTTTTGCTTGTGGACTTCCAAACACCAGAAACTTTGTGTTTCTTCCCTGGGATGCAAGTCATTGCCGTTCACCTACATCCTACTTCTGCCCTAAAAGAAGGGGAGGGTGTTTGAAGGCAAATTGGAGGAAGGGAAAGACTGAGCTGAAGACTGTGCAGTCTCATTGCAGATAGCCTGTTGGGAGTGGTCTTAGGGAGGAAACTACCCCTAGATCCTCATTTGGGCATTGTCTCACAGGGAGGAAGGTGGGCTCACATCAGGCAAACTGGACAGGGAGTAAAAGCATATATGTGCACTCACACAAGATAGTGTCTTATGGACTGAAATTCTCAAACACAGAATTTATTCTTTAAAAGGCTCAAAAGGAAAAAAAAAAAAAAGGGTCTTATTGTGTAAATTTACTTGCTATAAAACCCCAGGTGTTCAGTTACTTCTTAAGTCCAGTGCCATATTTGCCAGCCACAGGAGCATGTAAGATTGCACAAAGTACATCCTGATGCTCCAAAGGGCATCTGCTGTTAGTGGTCCATTTTCCTAGGAAAGTCCTGGAGATGATAAAGATTCACAAGTCATTCATTGAAAGCTGCTCTCCATTGGCAAAGACGGTCCTGGAGATGCTGGCACTGAAGAATTTCACCACAGAGTCCCTGCTCCAAATCAAGCTTCCACCTGTGGTCCTCCTGGACACTGTGTACAATCGCATCATAAAAATCGCCCTTGAACCAGGCCAAGTACATGTAAGGCGATCAGACAACACACACAGTAATAGATCAACTTCTTGTTAGTGTTTTTTCTTTAGGTCATGAAAAGTTCAGCAATTTTATACAGGTAAGCCAGAGTCTTCCTGGTTCCTGAAGAAATTTTCAACAAATCCAAAGAGGTTGAATCCTAGGAACCTGGAGTGAGAGCTCAATACCCATCTTTTGAGAGAAGTGGCAAAAGAGAAAGAGCAAAGGAATCTCTTTTTTTTTTTCTTTTTTTTTGGCCTGGTTGGAAAATTGCTAACAAATGCTGTATCAAATGAATTTTAATCAGAATATTTGAGCATCCTGTCCTCAAATGCAGTAGCCAAAATGAACACTGTGGGGATCAAACAATTGGAAAAAGATGAAAGAAGTTAAAGTTCTAACTTGCATTTTTGAAAGAGTGATTATTTTTAAATCAAAATTTGACTTGTTTATAGAATCATAGAATAGTCAGGGTTGGAAAGGACCTTAAGATCATCTAGTTCAAACCCCCCTGCCATGGGCAGGGACACCTCACACTAAACCATGTCACCCAAGGCCTCGTCCAACCTGGTCTTGAACACTGCCAGGGATGGGAACATACTTTGTGTCATTCTCACTTATGTTTCACCTACACTGTTGTAATAGACTCTGAGGCTCTGAAGAAGAATACCACTTAAAATCTACTTCTTGCTGTATATTATAGGATTATACACAATACACTGATTTGTACTTTAAAAAATCTGATCTAAGACCTCTCACACCATCCTCTGAACTCCAGAGATCTTGAAGACAGCTGGTTTCTGTGGGACTTGAAATTATTTTTTTAACAGGAGCTAGATCTGCCTTTCCATCTGAAGTGCTGAGGGCTTTTTCTTTTTAATTCAAGCACTGGCAGAAAAAAAATCTCTGAAGGTTTCACATTTGTCAGTTTTCGTAGGGGACTACCTCAGCTCTGGGAATTGATATGTTTTCACAGTTGTTTTCAGTGTATGTTTTTACCCTCTATTCAGGAAAAGGATTTGAACGGCCTTTTGAACAATATTGCTGAAAGGATGACATCCTGGTTCAAGGACTTGTAAGTACTGACCTTCTGAGAGGATAGATACTAGGACAACTCTGTGGAGGAGGTGGGAAAGAATGGCTAGATTTGTGTTTGAGCTGAATAAGGGAGGTTGTAGTAATTTTCTTTGTTAGATGTACGTCAATCTTTTAAACCCTTATGGTGCTGATGAAGGATGAATGCATCCACAGGGGAATCTGTCCTGACAGACAATCTACCTCCATCTCATGTTGTGGGGTTCAGCTACAAATTGAGACATTTAAGTGGCTCTGGTTGGCTTACGCTGCATAGTATTTTTCAGCAAATGAAGGATACTTAAGCTCAAGATTGTGTTGACTGTTTTTTAAATGCCATTGTTATAATTAGCACATGAGGTGTACAGTGTTTTTCTGTGTCCACAGGCACCAATCAGAGGGTACCAAGCAGGTTACTGAGCAGCCGACGAAGCCCACAGATGAGGAGGATGCCATATTCTGTCTGAATTTAACATATGCATTGCTTTCATTTTCCTTAAAACACTGTTATGCAGTGCCATTTAGCTCGATAATGTCACTGCTACGGATACTTCAGGTGTTTGCTGCAGAATCAGATGTGTTGCAAGCAAATCAGGTAAAAATAACACCCACAGCTTTCATAAAGACATATACCCATGTCTTTTTAGCTGAGAAGGGCCAGGAGTTCAAGTTTGCTTTGTTCAGACATGGCCAGCTATAGGAGTCACAGCAGAGCATGTAGCTACCTTTCTCAGTTACTTACTCTAACCTTGTCAGAATTTGTGCCGGGACAGATGAGGAGGCTTTGTATGGACAGAGAGCTGCAAACACAGCTGGCAGTGTCTTAGAGTGTGCCAGCCATTTCTCTTCTCAGAGGCCCTTGATAGTGGTGGGGAAGGCCTTTATTTTCACTCTCTACACAGCAGTTAAGTATCAAAAGCCAGAGTGAAAATCTGGTTTTCCTTGCCAATTGCCTCCTTTTTATTATTTCCCAAGGAATTTCAGCATTTTATCTCAGAAAGATGGCATCAGTTTGAAGGTTATATGACAGAGTGGCTGGAGAAATCCTTGCCCTGGCCACCCATGAAAAATACACGGTTCTTTGAAAACATCGGTGTGAGTAACAAGAACCCACATAAGGAATAACCACCCACCCTAGAAGGTCTGTCAATACTCTGAGGCCCAGTTCACTAGCTTTGCTTTTCTGCCACAGGTGTGGCACGAGCTGTCCTTGCTCAACATCCTCTGTGTGAAATGGACCAAGAAATGGCAAAGCCTGATACACAACATGGTTGAAAGGTGGCTGGAGAAAGTAAGTTATGGTTACTTAACTCCAGGCAGGTGAGTTGATGCTCAGATTTCTCCTGACCCCAGGATGCTGTTTTGTCCCAGTCAGTGTTTGGATGATGGCTCCATCAGCAGCCAGCTCCTTGCTGATGTAGAGGAGCATAACTCCTCCCCTACTGCTATGAGAAATTAATGATAATTTGGCAAGGCTCCAGAAAGCAATTGCAGCTTAAGCATTTCCTTCCTGCAGGTAAATGGCAGAGAACTTCTGGACTTCTACTCAGAATTCATAGAGAAGGACAAGTATTGGAATACAGGTTTCGAGATCTGCTTCACGGACTGTGTCATTCAAAGGATTAAACACTTACCTAAAAGTGAGGTACACAGCTTCTGTCTGAATGCCACCATCACTTCTTGCAAGCTGGGAGTTTCCACCTCCTGCCACACTGAGCTGACCCACTTTGCTAGCTGTGCTTATTTGGCCTATGGTGGGTTAATAGAGTGGGAGACGAATTTAGTGTAAAGGTACGAGTTCTACAAAACTTATTTACAACTAGGAGGAAAAAATTCTTGTCCTTATTTTTCATCTTTACAGGAATCTGTGTTAGTAAAAATGGTTTCCAAAGTCATCAAGACAGACAGGTCATATGCTGGGAAAGTCCTTTCTGCTGTTGTTGAGAAAATATTCTTAGACAAGATGAACAACTTTCCTTTCTCCTTAAAAAAGGGAGAAAGACATGCTGATAGTGCAGAACTATTTCTCAAAGAGGTGCTCAGCTCTTCCGTGATCTATGATCTCATCTCTGCTGTTGGTAAGTTTCCCTCCTTTTTAAGATTCTTGTGAGCGTTGGGCTCTGTATCCAAGCAACAGCTGATGTGCATGTCACTAAAATCTCACACTAAACAGTTCAGCCATAGCACTGGGTGAAGTTTGAAATTAAGTCCTTTCTTTTGCTAGAAAGGAATATGAGGTTTCATCACCTCTGTTCAAAGATCTGCGAAATTTGTTGCCAATACAAAATGGAGAAGACAAAATATTCACATATCCTGGAAAAAGATGTTTAATTTCAGAAACTGTGAAGCGGTTTCGATTTCTTTTTTCCAGTTGAAATGGTATTTTGTTTCACATTCGTGGGAGGTGTTGAATTTTTTAAATGAAGAATATTAAAGAAAAAAAATTACTCTCTGAAAAAAAAAACAAACAAACCAAACCACATGAAAAACAACCCCCACCCCCCCAAAAAAACCAAACAGAAATGCTAACTGTGAAGCACCCCAGAGGTTTGTTTCTGTCTGGAAGGAGAATTATAACCAAAGCTAAGCCAGGGTCCTCTAAAGATACATCTGGGGGTTGGTGTACCTAAAACAAATGAAAAATGCTGTCTTACATTGATCGGGAGCAAAGCAACATTTTTTCCCATACGCTGGTGTGAGTCACTTAATTGTCAGTCACACAATCAAATCTGTGCTGTCCACAGAAGTGGCTGTAACAGATCCCCTTGCTATTCACGGCTTAGAGACAGGGTCTGCAAAGCTGCTAACTCTTCCTGAGGATGTATGTTAAAATGAAATCCAGTGGGGAAACAACTGATTTTGAAAGCACTGCTCTATCACTAGTTTTCTTTTTTTTTATAGAAGAAACAGAGGACAAACTTCAAAATAAGATCAGTAAAAATGCAAAAAAACTGGTCTCCATTTTTTCTAATTTCTTCCACATTATGGGCCATCAAGTTTTCTCAGGAGACATTCACTGCAACCTGCTGTCCATCATCTTCCAGCATCAAGAGGAATTTCAGAATATACTGTGCCTCCGTCGTAAACTCAAAGTTTCCAAATTTATTTCCCAAAACAGTAGTTCCATGTGGTGTGTTTTCCTGTTTAACAGGGCAAATAGAAAATATATCTATATTGGAAAGGTCTCTAAAATACAAAGCAAACAAAGCAAACAAAGCTCTGCAAGAGAAGAAACACAAAGGCAAAAAATAGAAAAATTGAATATTGGCAATTTTTAAGCTGTTTTAACACTCTGGACAGAAAACAACATTCTTCTACTGTGCAATGGATAGCAATTAAATAGTATTCCTATGATGCATCTACAGAACTGTGTTTGTGTTGTTAGAAACACAATCACAGAATGGTTTGGATTGGAAGAGACCTCTAAATGTCATCTAGTCCAACCCTCCTGCAATAAGCAGGGGCATCTTCAACTAGGTCAAGTTGCGCAGAGTCCCCATCAGCCTGACCTTGAATGTTTCCAGGAACTGGGGCGTCTACAACCTCTCTGGGCAACCCGTTCTAGTGTTTCACCACCCCCACTGTAAAAAGTATATTCCTCATATCTAGTCCAAATCTACTTTTTTAGTTTAAAACCATTACCCCTTGTTCCATGGCAATAGGCCCTGCTAAAAAGTCTGTCACCATCTTTCTTATGAGACTCCTTTAAGTATTGAAAGGCCGCAATAAGTTCTCCTCAGAGCCTCCTCTTCCCCAGGCTGAACAAGCCCAACTCTCTCAGCCTTTCCTCATTGGAGAGGTGTTCCAGCCTCTGATTATTCCTGTGGCAATCCTCTGGACCCTCTTGAACATGTCCATGTCTTTCCCATGCTGAGGGCTCCAGAGTTGGCTGCAGGGCTCCAAAGCTGGATGCAGTACTCCAGATGGGGTCTCATCAGAGTGGAGTAGAGGGGCAGAATCACCTCCCTTAACCTGCTGGTCACACTCCTTTTGATGCAGCCCTGAACATGATGGGTTTCTGGGCTGTGAGCACACGTTGCCAGCTCATGTCCAGGTTTTCATCCACCAGTACAGCCAGGTCCTCCACGAGGCTGCTCTCAATCCCTTCATCTCCCAGCCTGTATTGATACCAGGGGTTGCTCCAACCAAGGTGCAGGACCTTGTACTTGGCCTTTTTAAACCTCATGAGGTTCAGATGGGCCCACTTCTGAAGCTTGTCCATATCCTTCTGAATGGCATCCTGCCCCTCAGGCATGTCAACTGCACCGCTCAGTTTAGTGGGTCTAGGGTTTGTTTTTCTGTTGCTCTTTATGCTGGTTACAAAATAACCTTCAAGGTCATGGGCCAGTTTCAAAATCCACCTAAATTTTACAAAAACATGGAAGAAAATTCTTTCAAATTCTTCTGCTGTAATTAACTTCATTCATGTGAGTGTTTTGGACTTCGGCAGTGATCACATCAGAAGGGCTCTTGGTTGATACTGCTGCTTTTAGATCAAGTGAAACAGCCTTTGTGCAAACTCAAGCATGCATTTTTTACATTTCCAGTAGCTTCTCTCTTTCTCCAGATGATTTTCTCAAAAATCCTTTATATGTGAGGTCTTGGCATAGGTGTGTGGTTTGTTGTTTTTTTTTCTTTCTTCCCCCAGGTCTCTCTGTCTTTAGCTGTATAGCGGAAGTGCTGAGAGTCAGAAAAGAGGAATATGAGCAATTGCAGAAGGAGGTGGAGCAGAGACGCTCATTTCTGCGTCTATGCAGAAGCATAGAGGATGTGATAAGAGGTACCATCCCATTCTATTTGAGATTATGGGATTGCCTATGTAGTTCTTGATTCCTAAAATAAAGAGCTGGTAACAAATCCTCCAGGAAATGGTGCTGCATGACCATCTAGTGGCAAACAGCAGCTCTGAGGAGAGAGCAAGCAGGAAAGGGGAAAAAAAAAAAGGAAGTCTGGTAGGGGTTCACATATGGAAGGAATTCAGAATAGTGGGAGAATCTGTCTCATGGGGGAAGATTAAACAGTGCAAGGTATTTAATTTCTCTGAGATATATATAAGGCTGAATTACCTAATTTGACAAATGTTTGTAGGGGCAAAGTGCATTTCAGTCAGGGCAAACAATTTCAGACAAGATCTAGAACCTGAAAAGAGAAGGACAGAGCTAACAAAAGCGAGCAGAAATGTGTGTTTAGTTGGGAAGATTCACCCAGTGAATTCTTCCTGGTGGACAGTGGAACATACACGTGCCAGCATTGAAGTTCTTGGATTGGGTGTAAGAATCAATAGAACTGATTCTGCAGCTGAGGTGGGCCAAATGGTGGTGTAGATCTCCTCAACATCTGCTTCAGGGCCAAGTTGTTTTCTAACACTACAGACACTACCAGTTTCAAGGCCATGGTTTGAAGGCTCTGTATCTCATCATGGAGCAATGGATTTTGCCTGCCAAACCCTTTCTTTTGGTGTTGATCTTGGATTCAGTTTTTCCCAAAGAACTTTGCCATAAACACACACGCACACACACACACACACACACACACACACTCCTACCACTTGGGTGTTTCAGTCAGAGTCAGAATATTTCCATGCTTAAAGGTTAAGTGTCTTTCTAGCTGGAGAAATGTACTGATTTTATTGTTTCCACCTTTCTTAGTGAATAAAAGTCCTGTGGACGAATGCATCTCTAAGAGAGGACATTTTAAGGATCATATATCTGTAAGAGTTTTTGATGTGAATAGCCAGAAGAAAACTTCTGAATCCCACTTCCTTACTAAGTACAGTGACATGATGAAAAAAATTCGTATCTTAGAGGAGAGCAATTATTTTCAGACTTTGTGGAAGGAAAAAGCGAAGCAAATCAAAGCCATAATCCCTGAAGAGAAAATTTTATTGATAGAAGATGTACAAGAAAACATTTATAAACCAGCCATTGATGACTTTCAGAGTACCTATCTGTCCCTTAAAGACTTATCCATCACCATTGGAACTGTGCAGAGCCATTTTGAGATACAATTAGCAGATGAGAGTCAACTCAGAAAGGAGTTTACAATTATGGAGATGAGCGAAGAGAAAGGGGATGGAAAAGCTGCCTGGGTAGATGCTGCAGTGGGGAAGATTAAAAACTACCTGACCCTGTCTACAGTGGTGAACACTGCCAAGATGATTGACGAACTGCGGAAGACACTTGATCTTAATGGGAATTTTCAGATTATCAGCGACATAACAAAATACATATGTAGGCCACACATTGATATCTGACTGCTCTTGTGGCTTCTGTGTTGGCAGGTCTGAATGGGGAGCCTTTGGTTTTGTCTGTCTTAACTTTTAACTAAATCATATTGGACACAGTGAATGATCTTTTTTTTCCTTTTGGAATATAAATTTCACTGTTGTAGCAATCTCTCTTTTAGCCTGGTACTTTATAATGGCGTAAGTGGAGTCAGGAATGTGATGCAGTTTATCCTTAATCAAACTGGTTGTCTGCAAATGAGCTTCCAGTGCCACTAGAGATGCCTAAGGGCATCTGAGGAAACTATGTGAGACCAATGGATGCAGGCATCTGTGTGTGTCAACAACCAAATTCTGCATCAAGTGATTTGGAATAGACGGAAACTCCAGCAATTCTTCATTTGGCTTCCACATGTTCTTTTGTGGATCTCCAAGCCTCATTGCCCCATTCCTGCAAAAACTAAAATGTTGTCTTGTCATAACCTTTCTATTATGGTAGCAATGATGGGAAACTGCACATGTAGCCCCCACAGAGCAGCTGGATGTTCTTTGTACCTTGAATAGCTTTCCAAGTTTTGGACCAGTTTCCCCAGAAATTTTGAAATGGGAACAGACCTTGTAAATTTTGTGGAAAGGTCTCTTAGTGATCAAGACTTCAAGGCAGATGTCAGACAAGTTTTATATCATGACTGTGTGCCTCTGCAGAGACTTGTGCTGAAATACCAGACTGAGTTTATGAAACAGATTGGATGTGAGGAATAGAAGTCTCTGGGAAGGTGGCACTTTGGAAAAAGCCCTGAGTGGCTCATGGATGGGGCAGAGGCAGAACTAACCTTCCTTCTTCTCTTACCAAGGGACACACACTAGTATGTCTTGGATTTATTTTTTTTTCTTTTCAGGAAGAGCTGGAATTCAAGAATAAAAGACTTAATTATATGACTCAGGACTTAATAAAGGTGAAAAACAGTTTGAGCAACCTTCCAGAAGAGATGCTGGAATTTCTGAGGGAACTTGAATGCACAAGGAAAGGCTTTGTCTCCTGGATCAAAACCATAATAAAAGGTGAGTTGTACTGGGATGTAATAGAGTCATCAGGTAAGAGAAACAAAAGAGGGGGATCAGACGTTGTGACAACAGCATTGCATGAAACAACTGTGTGAACTCCAACTCTGAGCTGATCATGAAACTCCTCAACCAGGTGTCTTATTTTTGGATCTTTTCCCCCCAGACAAAACAGAAATTCTTGCATTTGTGGAGCTGGCATCAATTTCTGCAGGTGAAAAAGACATTGATATTGACAAATTGCAGTTGTTCCGTGATGCTATGACTGCTTCAGCACCCATTGTATTTGACCTGAGAACCACATCTGGATTTGAACAGTTCTCTGAAGCCCTGTCATTCATCAGTGAAGCCACTGTAAAAGACAAAAATCTGCCCAAAAAGTTGGTGAGTCTGGAAATCCCATGTTCCAAAGTTACTTGAACTCATACTAGAAGAATGAACTGGCAAAGTTTACTGCATTGATGGAGGGGAGTTAAGACATCCAACTGGATGTAGCAGATATGACATAAAACCTACGAGAAATCCGTGCTGTTTTGGACTGAAGACCGGTTGGGGCACCTTAAAAGACCTCACAAGCCTATGTGAGAGCAAATGGAGGAGACCTATTAGGTGCCATGTACAGAAGAAAGTGATTCCAATGCTATGTGTTTTAGGAAAGCCTAGTCTAGCACTGTCTTGAATAATCCTCTCCACAGAAACTATAACATCCTACTCAGGGTACCATATAACTGATACCCTTCCTGCAAATTGCCAAGGACTGTCAAAGACCAGCAGCTTCACAAAATATTTATTCACCCACTTTGGCTTTCACAAAGCCTATAAAATAGATGCAGGTGTGGGTGCAACAGCTATGCATTGTCTCTCCAGGCATGGCAGGCACAAGAAACTCCATTCTTACCAAATCATACTCACGGAGCTGTCACCTGGCTATTAGGTTTCATTCTGTTGTGTTGATTTTTTTCTTTAACAGAAAGATTCTTGTGATATGAGAGAATGGATAAAGATGGTTCATGACTCTCATGGCTCTGTAGAGTGTTCCTCCATCTCTCAAGCCAGAGACATCATAAGCAGAGGGATGTTTATCATCTCAGCACCTCAAAACTTCAAGGTAACTGTTCTCCACATTTTGAAGAATTCTTTTCAGGGTGTTGTTTCTGCCCAAATTAATTAACATCCTTGAAATCCATTTCAAAGGATTATGTCAGATAGCAAATAGATCTCTACTCAGATTTGAAAGAAGCACAGAAGCAGCGCAACCTCATGTCACATTTTCCATTAACTCTTTGTCATTTTTGAGGCAAAACAGGCTTTTTTCTTTTTGTCCCCAGGCAGGAGAGGAAGCAGTATTTAATACAAAAAACCCCCACCTGCTCACTGAGAAAGTATAAAAAGAGAAGGGAAAGATTTAAAATGAGAACTGCCACTCCATTGTTCAAGGAGAGTGGTGCTTGCAGCGTACCCTGAAAGAGGGAAGGAATGATCCACATCCTAAGATGTAGGAAAACTTGATGTTTGGTTGTGATATGCAAGGGGGTACTATTACTATTCTTGAAAGCCAGAGAAGAGACAGAGTGGGGCTGATCCTCTTACCTGGTTTTCAGGCTGCCCTTGAGGACTGTATTTCAGTGCTACTGCTGAAGGACACCACAGAAGGAGTGTTTCAGACACATCAGAAGTCTAAATACAGCCTGGCTGAGCTCACAGAGCTCCAGAACAAGCTTTTGTTGATCACCACAAAAGCTGAGCAGGGCAGAAAGGAGGCAAATCGCTTCCTGGAGGTAAGAAAGGTTACCAGGTTACTTACCAGGTAAGTGCAAGATCATTGTGTGCTTGAAAAAC